GCCAGGAGTGTCCCCTAAAGCTACCCTTAGGTAGGAGTCCCCCTCTGTTCCCTCCATCAGCTCCCCAAACCCCCCCCCCCCAGGCCACACAGCTCAATGGCTCAGTCTCAAACAAGAAAACAGGCTGGTTTTGCCCATGTCCTCTCTGTGCTTCACAAAAAGAAATCCGGATAAAAGCCTACCTCCCACCAGATACAGCACCTCTTTGCCTTCTAGCCCAGGAAGTGTTTCTGGAATATGTTCTTTCCACAAAGGGAATGGCAGCTCACCTAGCAGTCAAACTTTAGCGGCTGGACTTAATTTTTTGAATGTGTGGAACCTCAGCCCAGAACTCAAATACTGCTGCTCTACTGATTCAGTGCTATGTGGCACTGGCCTCAACCATTTGCCCAAGTCCCCTTAAACACTCCAAGTGCACTCTTCATTATTAAGGGTATGCCTTCTCTGCTTCTTTCCCTCCCCCATCTTCCACCAAAAAGCCAAACCATGTGCCAAAAAATACCCAAAAACAAAAACCACCAAATTTATTTAGCAGACATTTTTAATTAAGAAATCTTAGGGCCGGGGATTTAGCTCAGTGGTTCTGCTGCCTGCCTCGCAAGCGCAAGGACCCAAGTTCGATCCCCAGTACCAAAAAAAAAAAAATCCTATAAATTAGGACCACCACAATTCAGACACTCCGGTGCGAAGTATACATCAATAGCTACACCTGGAGGATGAACAAGCCATTGAATCTTTAAAAAATTGGTTTAGCTACCTTAAAGTTTAGGGGTGGCACCTAACTAAAGAGCCGTCAAGTTTCACAAGGGTAAAGCCAGCGGTTTCTCCTCCTGGAGAATCACAGTTTCAGTCACTCACAAAGAAAAGCTGGCACAACAGGAGAGAACAAACTTCGAGTGAGGAACCAAAGGCCCAGTAAAAGGAGAAAAGTGTCCAGGGCTCCCATCCAACCCTACAGAGATCAGAAGTAAGAAAGAACAGCTGGGAGGACAAGGTTTCTGAGAAAGCTGGAGGCATGGCCAAGAGTGGCCTGCCTAGCAGGAGGAGGAGGAGTTCTGGAAAAAGGAAAGCCCAGAAAAAGCAACCTCCCCCTATGTCCCTCTTAGCCTGTGTGTCCTTGGGAGACTGCAAGTGGTGGCAAAGCAGACAGGGCTCTTCTTGGAGCAAGAGAAAAAGACACCCAGGCTTAGTTCTAGGGAGTCTTCCCAGCCTCCCACTTACAGCAAATGTGACCTTCAACCAAAGGTGGCAAGGTCAAACCATTTAAGAGTGCATATTCGAATTCAACATTCCCCATCTTCAAAATGCTCCACCACCCAGCCTGTCTCCCCACAGGAGTTCCTGTCTCCCTCTCCACCAGCTGCTCATTAAGTGGGAGAAACGGGGCGATGGCAACCCACCCACCGCCAAGTTTTTACATTCTTCACCCCAGAACTAGTTTGCACATCAATTGTAGCACCGTCTTCAGTAGGCTCCTGCACCGGAAAATAATGAGAAAATTTAAGCATTATCACTAATTTTCAAGGATTTTTAGAAAGCCCTCGTGATTCCCGCCCCTATGGCTGCAAGCCATCTTTAAACAATCCAAGCAAACGAGGCCCAAGGGGCTAAGTCAGTCAGGTACAAGTCCATGCGAGTAGCTGCCACAGCTCCCCCAGTAAGTCCCCGGGTTCTTGGCTTTGGGTGGCCGGGGAAGTTCTCACATGAGGAAAGAACACGTTCTGGCCCGTGCATTTCTCCAAGCTTTAAGCTTGGTCTGGCAACTTTGCCGGGCCGTTAACTTCTCGGCCTGAGGTCTCTCCCCAGGCATCTTTCCACAGCCTGCACTGCCCCAGGGCAGAGACAGCAGCTTCAACCCTGGGTTGACAGAGGCAAGAACGCTGCAGGGTCTCCTCGGTGGAGTCCTCCTATTCTGGGAGGCCAGGGTCAGAGAACTGCACCCGAGGTCTGCACGGCGACGGGATCTGGTCCACTGCGGGCGCCTCCGGGTCCAGGGGCACTCGTGGGGCTGGTGGCTGCAACTGCTGCGACGGCTCGCTGGAGCCTCCGCACCGCCTCCTTGATGAGGTTTCCGGACACTACGAGCTGCTGCAGGAGCTGGTGCGGGTCGTCGTCGCCGCCGGCGCGGGCGCCAGCCTGGGCCCACCGTCGCTGTTCCAGGCGCCGAGAAGTAACAGCGCCCCGGAGCCATCCTCGCCGGCAAGGCCGGGGCAGCACACTGGGGCCTGCGGCGAGCTCCGCCACGCAGTAGGGCGCAGCTCGGCCGCGCACCCGGCCGCGGTCCCCGAGCGCACAGCGCAGGGCCCCCGGGGGCGCCGGGCTCCCCACCTCGGCCGGCGCGGGCGGCACCCTCAGAGACACCGCCGGGGGTCGCGGGGGCTGCAGCGGCGGCCCCGGGGGCACACGCGGGGAGGCGGGGCTGTCGCGCGCCGCGTCCAGCTGCAGCATCTCGCCGATCTGGGCCACCAGCCGGTCCACCTCTCCCGAGCCGCCCAGCGTCACCGACTGCTCCAGCAGAAGGAAGCTGCCCTCCTCCTCCTCCCCCTCCGCTTCCTCGCCTGCTTCCTCTTCCTCCTCCCTCCGGCACGGCATGGCCCCCTGGCCCGGGCACCTGGGACCCTGGCGCGCGACGGTGGCGGCCTGGCTGCCCGCGAGTCGGGCGGACCGTGGCGGAGGTAGCAGGCGGGCCGGATCCGGGGCCGGCGCCAGGGACGCGGGAGCCGGGGCGGAGAGTACTCGCACGGCGCGCCTGCAGCCGGGTTGCCGGAATCCTGCCGGCTCGGGTAGATTTGTAAACAATGGGTGACGTCGCGCGGGCCGTTCCACCGCGCTGGGCCAGGAGGGCCACGAGAACGCGAGGCGACTCCGAGGCAGGGCGTCGTGGGCACCGTAAGGTCGCAACCGCTGCTTTTGCGGATGTGTGTTCATCATTTGTCCATGATGGGATCCTGGGCGTGGGTACAGCTTTCACCCTGACCACGTCCCACAAGAGGCACGAAAAAACACCCACCCCACCCCCCGTGAAGGCCAGCGTTGGTTTCTTCCAGTTCGGACACACCCATCCACACCCCCAACCCCTCCCTGCGGGCGCTGACTCTCTCCCCACGTGTCAGCCGCCCGGGTCCCAGCGGGCAGGAGTCCCCGGCCCTGCGGGGGGATGGGTGGGCCGGCCGGCGGGGCGTGCGGAGATGGGGCCAGGGAAAGGAGGGTGAATTGCGCAGAGTAGGGACACTTAAGGAGGCGGGATATGACAGAGGTGGGGTCTCTGAGCCTTCCGTCTCCCGCGGCCTTTAAGCATGGAAAGAAAAAGAAGCTCCACTGCCTGGCTGAAGAGTTGGTTTTTTTTTTTTTTTTTTTTTTTTAATTCAACTAGAAATACAGGGATTGGAAATTTTTCTCATAATCATAGGACTCAAACATGTTAAATATTTTTTCCTTGAATTTTTTTCTCCAGCCTTTTTCCTATAAAAATATACAACAGCCATGCATGCAGTGTTAACACACTTTTTACTTTGCATTACATCATCAGCGCCTTTTTTGTTACTGCATGCACTTTGAAAACATTTTGCATGATTATGTAAATTTCCACTAAATCTTTGAATTGTTCAAATTCCTTTACCGCTGTTGTTTGCCTAATTTTACTGTTGTAAATAAGTGTGTGACTAACATTTTTGTCCATAAAACTTCCATATTTATGATTCTTTCCTTAGACCATAGTCACAGGAGTGGACTTGTAGGTCAAAGATAAAGATATTTTCAAGTTTTTGATAAACATATGAAATTACTTTCCAAGAATTAGGTAAAAGTTATCGCCAGGGATTTAGCTCAGTGGTTCCAGCGCCTGCCTTGCAAGCGCAAGGTCCTGAGTTCGATCTCTGGTACCAAAAAAAAAAAAAAAAAAAGAATTAGGTAAAAGTATTCTCATTAACATGTGGCATACATTCACTGCACCTTCACTAGAACTAGAGTATTATTGAAAGAAAGTTTTTGCTAATTTCGCAGGTGAAATTGTATCTTCTTTCAGTTTGCATATTTTTTTATTTTAGAGTGAGTAATTTTCTAAATGTTTCTTTGGGTTGGTTTTTTTTTTTTTTTTGGTACCAGAGATTGAACTTGGGACCTTGCACTTGCAAGGCAGGTGGCGGAACCACTGAGCTAACTCCCCAGCCCTCTAAATGTTTCTTAACCAACTTTACTTTGTTCTTGGTAAATTGTGCGTGTTTTACTACAAAAGATACTTAAGGTTTTTTGTTGGCTTTGTGCTTGTTTTTTTTGTTTTGAGACAGTGTCACAGTGTAGTCCAGGCTGGCCTTAAACTCATAATCCTCCTGTCTCACTCTCTTGAGTGCTGGAATTACAGGTATGTGCTACCAACACCTGACTCCTACCACTACCACCAGTAAAACTTAACAAATTTAATGTAATTAAATCTATAAATCCCTTTGAGACTTCTACAGGATCCTAAATTTAAAATCTCATTGCCTGTAGAGCATTATTAAATATTCAGTCTTATTTTCTTTAGGTTTTTCTTTTCTTTTTTTTTTTTTTGGTATGGGGATTGAACTCAGGACCTTGTGCTTGCCAGGCAGGCACAGTGCCACTGAGCTAAGTCCTTGGCCCTTCCTTAGGTTTTTCTAATGCCTTGATTTTTTTTTTTTTCAAATCCATCTGGGATTAATTTTGTCCTTTGGTGCAAGGAGATGAGATGAAATTTTTAAAGACATTTTTTTTCCAGAAAGCTTGCTGGCCAAAGCTGTATTTCCTCACCAGGACAGAGGTGTGTGGGTAGTGTACACAGATGTTCTGTCTTGTGAGTTCCCAGTTTCTGGTTAAACCAGTGGTTTTGAAGACTGGGTGGGGCTGGGAATATTTCTCTCAGTCTCAGAATCAAAAGAACCCTGAGCAGGTTGTACAAAGACCTAGATTCAAATTTTCATCCTGCTACATGCTGGGCGTGGGACTCTGGGCAAATCACTTTACTAGTGTTTTCACTTGTTAAATAATCCCTGCCCTGCCTCCCTCTGAGGATTGTTTTCAGGATCAGATGAGATGATGGGAACTGGCTTTGTCAGGCATTTCACAAATGTACTGTGGGATTAGGTCCAGTGGTTTACTAACAGAGCCTTGGCAGGCTTCCAGTGATGCCCCTCACACACCCCCAGCTAATAAGTTGGTGATGAAGGTTCCCCCTGCATACTACCAAGTCGAAGATACCCTACAGGCCTTACTTTCTTGCACTGGTCTGGGCCCTTGAATTCTGCGTCCATCACCCTGACCTGGCATTGTTCAGGGCATTCCAGAAGGCAGCCCAGGGGCTCCCAGTCCAGGATGCATCACCACAACTAGTTCTGCAGGTTTGGGCAATGGGACCTCTCCCAGCAGCAGCTTCTTCCTCCATCTCTGTGGAGGGCTCTTGACACATTTCACTGATGAGGATTGGAAGCCATTTCCCCCAGAGAGAGTGTGTCTCATTTTCATTCCAATGGTACTTACTGGGAAATTTCAAGGGGAATGAAAATTAGGGGAGGGCTTATGAATTTCAGTAGAGTTAAAATGGTAATTTTTTTTCTCCTCTCTGTAAGAGGATGCCTGGCTGTAAGTAGAGAAAAGCAGTTTTATGCTTCATTGACTTTAAACATTAATGGTTCTGGCAAAGCTATTGTCTAACCCCAAATCCCTGGAAGTTGTTTTGTCTTCCTGTCAGGGTAATTCCAATAGTGTTCTTACTGCTACTGTATAGGAAATGGAGCTTTGAGATGGAATTCTTTTTTAAAAAAAAAAATCTTCCCAGGCCGGGGATATAGATCAGTGGTTCTGCTGCCTGCCTCAAAAGCTCAAGGTCCCACGTTCGATCCCTGGAACCAAAAAATAAAAATAAAAAAAATTTTTAAATCTTCCCTTTGTTGCTTTTGTGTGCAGACTGCCATGTAAATATGCCTAGATGTGGATATACTAGACTGGTTGCCGGGAAGCTGCTCCATTTTCCAGGGGCACTTCTTTAGAGAGCTCTGAGAGAGGGAAGTGCATGCTGGACCAGTGGGAGGTGGCAAAATGCCCTGGCTTAGGAAGCAAAATGCAAGATGCCAGAGTGTCTCAAATGCAATTAGAAGTAATTCGAAGGTAGCAAAAGGGAAGCAGTGAGAGCTGTGTGCCTGGCACACTGGCTGCCTGCCAGGAAAGACACACTGAGCATTCAGAAACATCTGGGGAGGAACACAAGATTCAGGGGTTTTGCATTCTTGTAGACTGCATGGAATTCCTGGTCACGGAGTTGTCTGCCATGTAGACCTCGTTTTAAATTATCTGCACTCAGATACACCAACCAAGGCAACATAGCATGATGCTAGGCTTGGAATCTAACCTGGATGGGGTCACTTCATCCTTCTGTGCCTTTGGTTCCTAATCTGTAAAACGAGGCATACTGTTTTCTGGAAGGTCCCTCGTGTGGCTGAGGGTGGTACTGGAGTTCAATTAGATTTTTGGGAGCAAAAATAACTTTGGGGAGGTTCAAATTCAAAAAGGGCAAGTTCCAATCTAGCATGATGGTGAAAACCTGTAATCAGCACTTTGGTGGCAGAGGCAAGAGGATCATGAGTTCAAATCCAGGCTGGACTACAAGATCATGTCTGAACTGGGGAAAAAATAATTTGGGGGGCTGGGGATGCAGTTCAGTGGCAAAGCGCTTGGAAGCCCCAGGTTTTGTGTTTTGTTTTGCTTACTTTGGGTATTTTTTTTGTTTTTGTTTCAGTTCTGGGGTTGAAACCCAGGGCTTCACAAATGCTAGGCTAATGCTGAAAGACTGAACTACATCCCTAGTCTAAAATGGCTAATTTTATGTTATATCAATTTTACTTCAGGCCAGGTGTGGAGGCACATGCCTGTTATTCCAGTACTGGGAAGACTGAGGCAGGAGGATCACCCTGAGTTCAAGGCCAGCCTGAACTATATAGTGAGAACTTATCTCAAAAAAAAAGAAAGAAAAATTTTTTATTGGAACTGGTGTTATCAGTCAGCTTTCCTATTACTGGGACAAAATTCCTGACATCCAGTCAGGTATTTTGGTTTTTTGTTTTGTTTTGTTTTTTCCAGTACCAAGGATTGAACTCAGGACCTTGTGCTTGCCAGGCAGGCACAGTGCCACTGAGCTACATCCCTGGCCTGCAGTTGCATATTTTGGTACCAGGGATCGAACTCGAGTCCTTGCACTTGCACAGCAGGCAGCGGAACCACTGAGCTAAATCCCCGGCCCCAGCAGTTGCATATTTTTGCACACACCTGTAGTCCCAGCACTCAGGAGGCTGAGGCAGGATTGTGAGTCTATATAATAAGTTCAAGGCCAGCCTGAACGGCATAGCAATACCCTGTCTCAAAATAACCAACCAACCAACAAAATAGGTAGGGGAGAGAGAGTGAGAGAGAGAGAATGCATATTCCTGACACCCAAAACTTAAAGAAGGAGAGGTTTATTGTAGCTCATAGTTTTAGTAGGTTCAATCTATGGTTGGTAGGCTCTAAGGTACAAACAGCATGGTGGAAAGGGATGGCAGAAGAAACCTGCTCACTTCATGGTGGCCAGAAAGCAGAGAAAGAGAGGAGAGGAGCCAGGCACAAGGATATACCCCAGGTCATGTCCCCAGTGACCCACCTCTTCCTACCAGGTCCCACTTCTTAACAGCACATTCAGCTATGAACTCATCAATGGATTAATCCACTGATAAGGACAGTGCCCCTGTGATTCAATCACTTTCCAAAAGCCCCACTTCTGAATACAACAAGGCTTTTGGGGGACATTTTAGATATAAATCATAGCAGATATATATACCTCAGGGGTAGAGCACTTGCTTAGCATGTGCAAAGCCCTGGGCTCGATCCCTAGCCTTGCCAAAAGACAACCCCCCCCAAAGACGATATACTGTATCTGGTATCTGATCCACTCTTCTTCAAACTTGGAACTGCAGTCTATTTGC